ATTTTAATAATAAATGAGGAAAATGTTAATAAAATTATAATTAAATATTCAATCAAATCATAAAAATTTAACCAAACAAACTCAACTCCTCAAGTGCTTTAACATAGCTTATAACTGTTAACCATTTCTGCATGTCTGCAAAAGAGTGTCTTTCACTCACACCTTGAGACTAAACTCAGAGAGCAACCGATTGCAGCACTGTTAAAAGGCACGCTCACTCAATCGTGTCATCGCTTCGTATCTTTAACGAGCTCCTTGGCGATCGGCTCACAATCGTTTATGTTGTTTCGCTCTCTTTGTCACCCGACCGTTCGGTTGAGTGGAAAAAAGCTTATTGTGCACGTATTGATATGTATACCAGGCTTCGTCAATAACGTACGAGAACTGAGTGCATGTGTGTGTGTAATGTGAAGACCGTTTGCATTGCCTGTTTGAGTTGTTTCTCAACTTAGTGACTTTCAATGTGAGAACGTCAGTCGTTTCGCTCACTGAACGATGTTTGTAAAATGAGCGCCACGAAGACAGCATAAGCCTCATAATTGAGCAGAACATTGCTTCGGCCCTAAAGCGAACCCCCTCCCAAATGTGTTTGAGCTTAAAGAAACTTCACATCTAGCATTACGATATGAATTTATTTGCACACATGAAAAATCACTTAGATACTAAATAACATTTCTATTTCTAGAGTGGAATGCGTCCACGCAGATAATCCATGACGGCAGCGGTGCCCTGAGCTAGGATTTGATGGCGCGGCTGGCGGAAGGGGTTGCCGGAGAGCTTGAGATCAGTTATGTTGGTCAGATTGCCCAGCACCGGCGGCACCATCTGTATATCATTGTTGCTCAGATTCAACGAGCTGAGATAGCGCAGAGCGCCCAGGCCATTCTCTGAGGCGTCCAACTCCTTGATCTGATTGTCATTGGCGGTAAGCGTCTCGAGCGCGTCCAGCTCGTAAATGCAGGGCGGCAAGTGATCCAGGCGATTGTGCGAAATGTTCAACTCGCGCAGCGACTGCAGCCCAGCGAACTCCATGGGCAAGTCTCGCAGCATGTTGCACGAGAGATTTATGGCGAGCAGGCGCGAGAACTGCGATATGAATGTGGGTATGTAGCACAGCTGATTCTTGGCCAGTCCCAGATCGGTGAGCAGATCGCTCATTTGCTTCAGCTCGGCTGGCACATCGCTCAGCAGATTGTCCTCCAGGTTCACCACGTTCACCAGCTCCTCGCAGGCCGTCTGCACGATCTCTTCCGGCAGCTCCTTCAGCTGCGCCTTGCACATGTTGAGGACACGCGTATTGCGCATCATGTACTTGTCCGGAAGATGTTTGTCCTCAGCAGAAATCGGCTTTTTGCCGCCCTGCTGTCGGGGACTGTTCAAGCCATCGCCCACCATATTTTAATTAGAGTTAAGGTTCAATTGCAGCCAATACAAAAAATAGAAAATCAATTTTTACAAAAATTAAAATGTATCGAAGCTAGGCAAACGACTTTAAATGAAAGACTAAACAAATTTCTTTTTCCAGCTAGAGAAATGTGGAAATGCGAAAATTTAGTCGATGCTAACGTGATTATTAAAAAAATTCTAGAGCTATGCAGAGTTTTTTTTGTTCTTGTATGGGATTCAATAGGTTTTCAATAGGCATTATATATTAATAATTGTTACATTCTTGAATTTAGTTGGTTAAAGGCTAAAAAAATATATATATATTTTTTTAACAAATAGACAATAAAATTATGAATGCGATTGAAGTTGAAGATGTAATAAAAAAAATAATAATAA